TGGTCCCCGCTCCTCGCCCTCCCCTCAGCCTGGGTCCCCCCCTCCCTGCCCCTCACCTAAGTGTGGGGCAGCTCCCCTGGGACACCTGTGACTGTCCCCAGCCCCGCTCTGCCCCGTGTCCCCCGCGCTGTGGAGTGTTGGGGACACACACACCCCCCCCCCACGGGGTGAGGATGACTTTGCTGAAGCAGCGCCCATTTTCTGGCTCCCCCAGGGCAGTTCCTGGTTCCTTATGCACTGGGCTGGTGTGGAGGGAGCCGTGGTTCGCTCTGCTCTGCTCAGCCAGCGCTGCTTGAGTGCAGCGTAGCGTGCTGGGAGCCAGGGTGTCGCAGCAGGGGTGTCAGCAAGGAGCAGGTGTACCAGAAACAGATAAGGAGCAGAGTGAGAGAAGCACAAGAACGGTTATTTAACTCTCAGCACCTGATGATGGTTTCGCCTCGGGGTTCTGAGCAGTGCCACAAGCCCCATAAATCCTTCCTGTAGGATCTTAAACACGCTTGATTTTGTTGCAGTCTTGTCCAGGAATGCAACTGTGCTTTCTTTTCCCTACTTGTCAGTGTACACTGTAAACTCCTTGAGAAAGACGTTTGTCTCTCCCTTGTCCATAGGTGCCTCGGGATATCAAACATTTTCTCTTGGCTCTTACTAACCTAGAAATGCTTTCTGTCTCGTTCTTGGTGCGGGTGCGTCTCTTGCTCTGCACCTTCTTTCTTTGACTGTAGCTAGTGATGAGCTCAAGGTGCTGGGGAACTTGTGGTAATGTTTGACCTCCAGCTCTACAGATGATTAGTCCTTGGAGAGGAGGGAGGTGCTGAAAGCGGAGAAGGCCAGGAGGGGAGGTTCTCCCTGCACGGTCACGTTATGTTTTGACCTTCTGTTCTAGAAACGCTTTCGTACACGGACGACACGGCCATGAGCAGGTCGGTGGTGCAGTCCCTGCTAGCCAAGCGAGAGTTTGATGAAGTTGATATGGCCAAGAGGTAAGGACTGCAGCCAGCTTTGGAGGCCGGGGTGTGGACATTTCCTAGCGCAGGCAAAACTTTCTTAAGACTCAGTGGTCGTGGTCATTGTCTCTTAGCGGGGACAGAGGCGAAGGCAAAGTCATTGTTAATTTGTGGAGGAAAAAAAATGAGAAAAATAAGGGCTAATCCTGTTGTTTATTGTGTGCTTTGCACTGTCCTGGAACATGCAGCAGCGTCAGCTTTAGTGCGGGTTCAGAGTCTGGTTTGAAATGAAGCAGAAGGGGCACACTGTAGTGCGTGTCTATGTGTTCACCTTTGTTGGAAGATAATGCTTAGAAATTTCAGAAGCATTTCCTTTCATGTTTCTTTGTTGCTGTTCATGTTTGTACCTCCCTTCATTTAGTTAGCGTGTATTAGTGAGGTCAGCTTCAGTTTGGTGTGATCCATTTCCCTTTGGAATCCACAGCCCTGGTAGCGTTTGGTTCCACTTAAGGGAGAGCATTTATTTGTTTAGAAAACTCTTCCATTGAACTTGAACAAAAGACTTTCTTTGTGGTTGTGACCCACGGAAAGGTTTCCAGTTTGCTTCTATTTCAAGGCAAAGTTGAGTGGGAAATAAGTGAGTTGAGAAAGGTGATGTTTATACACCCTTTCCTCCTTTCACACCTGTTTTTGGGAATCGGATTCTTTTGCTACAGAACTGAGCCACTTGAACCCTGGCTGTCACTGAGTTATCCATGTGTTATTAATTCACTTTGTCAGGTGGCTTTGTACAGCTTCTTTACAAACGTCGGGAATGGACCAAATATCCCCTGTGCTTTCTCTCACCTGCACAACTGCTGCTCTCTTGCCCACACCAGGTTTGCTGAGGAGTACAAGAAGGAGCCCAACAGGGGCTATGGGATGGCCGTTGTCAACGTCTTCAAGAAGCTCCTGAGCCCCAAGTGCAACGATGTGTTTGAACCCGCGAGAGCCCAGTTTAACGGGAAAGGCTCCTACGGCAATGGCGGTGCCATGAGGGTGGCGGGCGTCTCCCTGGCATATCCTGATGTCCAGGATGTGAAGAAGGTACCGCGCTTGGCTCCGTGGGCACCTCGGCGCTGGGAGTTCCTGCTTCCAGGCCAACCTCGCCATGGTCTCCTGGGGAGGTTTGTAACGATGTGTTTTCATTTGCAGTTTGCGAAGCTGAGTGCTGAGCTCACCCACGCCAACTCCCTGGGCTACAATGGGGCCATCCTGCAGGCCCTGGCCGTGCACCTCGCCCTGCAGGGAGGGCTCAGCAAGGAGACCTTCCTCGAGCAGCTCATTAGCCACATGGAAGACGTAGAGGCAGATGATAAGTCTCTCACTGACGCCCGAGCGTAAGTAGCTGCGAGGAGCACTAACTCTGTGTTCAGTTTTCTCTGTCTCTTCGCATTCTCTCTTCTTCATTGTACTCATTTTTGGTTTTGTTT